GCTGTGTATGTACAGAGAGATAGCTGGAAGGGGGGGCAGGAGTGCATGGGAGGGAAGGACACAGGGAAGGGGTGGCTATGGGGAGGAAGTGGGAGAAGAGCTGTTGCATTGTGGGAGATCGCAGTCAATGTCATGAGACAAAGTGTATGTGAACTGCTGGAAGATGAATTTGCTCTGTAGACTTTCACCCAAATCACAATACAAATTAAAATAATAATAACAATAAAGAGCTACAGAACCCAGGTGTTCTGGATACCTAATGCTGCTCTGACAAGAATATGCCATAAATGGGATGGCCTTAACAAACAGGAGTTTATTCCCTTACAGTTTGGAGGCTCTAAGTCCAAGTTCAAAGTGTCAGGCTCTAGGGGCTGGGTAAAAGCCCTTCAACCTTGGGGTCCAGCTCTGCCTCCTGCTTCCAGCCCACTGGAGCTAGAGGCATTTCTTCACTCAGACAGCTGCTCGCTGCTGAGGCAGACAAACCCAAGATTGACAAGTAAAAAGACACAGTCTTAATGTTATCAAACCACACAGCAGGCCATTAATTTAAATCCATTGTAAGTCCCAAGGTTGGCAGAGCATGGCGGGCTGCTGAACAACGACATAGCTACATGCAGGGTCCAAGCGTGCCATAAGCTAGAGACCATTCCCCAAGGCTTTTTTACTGGAAGCAGACCACATCCCCTAGGGCAGCTACTCAGGGCTCCCAGTAGATTCCCCCATGGAGTTGATTACCAGTCCCATCATGGGGAATCCTACATCCAGCTGCCCAGCCACTCAACCAGGCCCAGCCCAGTTGACTCACAAACTGAACTACCACATCAGCTAAAGAAAGAAGAGTATGCAAAAAACACAAGTAGCAGTACATGAGGAAATAGGCTTAAACCTATGGATTAAAGTACTTAGAAAACCTGGAAAATGAATCTTCAGATAATATATAATAAATATTTCCTTGGTTTATTTTCCCGACATTACTCTAATTTGCTATAAAAGATTTTAAAAATGATTTTCAGAAAAAAAGACCTTCCTCAGTCTTTCTCAGTTTTCTTAACTCTTGGGTACAAAATTCTGTTCAGGTCTTTGGAGCACTTATCCTCAACTATAGGAGCTCTGGTAGCATAGTGCCTAAGGCATTTGACTGCTAACCAGAAGGCTGGTGGTTCAATTCCACCAGCCACTTCTCAGAAGGAAGATTGGGCAATCTACTTCCATAGTGATACTACCTCAGAAACCCAAGGAGGGGTCACTCTGAGTCAGATCTGACTCTACAGCAGTGAGTTTGGTTTTGGTATGCTCAACTATAAAGTATAATGTGAACTATTTTATAACTTTTATTTATATCTGTGAATTTTAATGGACAAATCACTTTCAGAGCTCCTCGTATAAGTTTATCTGTAGATTATTTATTATTATAAATATGGAGCTTTGGTGTCATAGTGGATAAGGCATTTGGCTGCTAACCAGAAGGTCAGCTGTTCAAACCTACCAGCCACTCCATCAGAAAGATGGGGCATTCTACTTCTGTAAAAATTTACAGCCTCAGAAACCCAGTGGATGTTGCTATGAGTTGGAATCATTATTGTTAATATGGATTATTTGTGGAGTGAAATTAAAGTCATATATTTATTGTTACAAACACACGTTCTCATTTTGGTTACTGTGCTACTTTTCAGATAAGTGAAACTACTGTTTTTTGTAGGTTTCATCATGTAGAATAACATGGTGTAATTCTTTTTGTTACATTTTAATTTAGAAAATGAATGTTCCTCTTTTACAAGTGACAACAGCAAAGAAAAGAAAGCATTGAAAGGGAAACAGAAATGTCACCAGAAATTAGAAAAACAATTTTTGTTCTTTCCTTGCTGGGTACTTAAAATAATATTGTTTATCTTTTCTGTGTATTAAAGAGAGTTCAAAATATAGTGTCTGACCTTAGAAGTTGTAATATAACATCTCTCTGAAAAATAATACAACTGAATGAAGTTTAAGATTGTTCAGGTAATTTTTACCATATAGCCTTCTCATAGATTATCTCTATGGTGTTAACAGAGTCAGAGCAACTGGTAGAAAAACTAATGTGCATCACTTCAGAAAACCTCACCTGGGAAATTACAGATAAGAGACTATAATTCTTATTTCAGAAATACATTACTTAAAAGTCTTTTTGAGATGCGAAAAAAATCAAATGTTCTTCATTTTGCATCTTGAATATTTTGTTAAAACATTTTGTGTTTTCCCTTTTCATTAATCCTAAAACAGTGGTAGGGTTGCAACAGATTCAGTGGCTAAGATCAATGGGAGATAAAGGGGTGACCCTACAATTTATGTAAATGCAACTGCACATACATCAGTGTTTTCCTGATCATGAATAATTCTGGAAAGAGGCTTGAGAAGCAATGAATGATGGTTAGGAACATGGACTCTGTAGCTAGACTGCCTGGGCTTAAATTCTGATTTCACCACTTCCAGCTGTGAGAATTTATTGCTGCATTTGCTGTCTCTTTAGGTTAATTTTCTTCTAGGGAAAAGTGACTTTTATGGCAAAAAGGCCATCTCTGTATTGAATTAGCAAATAATTTTATTGGATTTCAGATACTCTGGGGTTGAGGCTCATACTAACTCTATGTAAGACTTTCATTAATTTAATTGCTGTTTTATGTAAGTTTTTCTTTTTAACCTCTCAGTATTTACTTTGCTTTTACTTTTAATTTGGATACCTTTATATTGATCAAGTGACCCTCTGGCTAGCAAATAAAAAGCATGAGCAGAAACATTATTGGTTAATACAATTAATAATTAAAATCAGAAGAGTCTTAATATTTTGTTTTAAGATAAACCTGCAGATCAGAGCTCCATTACAGAAAGCTTTGGTCTACTTCATACATACGTCTGTGTTTACACGATGGTGTTTCTCTTCACAGTTTCCCTGCCCTCTAGTGGTAGTTATAGTAATCCCACTTTGTAGTCCCCACACAGGAAATGCTTGTTTTTACTTCAGTTACCAGAATCCTTTTACAGGAAGTTAGGTGTGGTCTTTGAAGGAGAATTAAAAAAAAAAAAAAAAAAA